ACCCCCCCCCCCCCCACATTCAAGCGAACTACTTTATCGAGCGCGCAAGGCCGAAAAGAAAAAATACGACTTTTCTCGTCTAGTCCTAGTCTTATTGTAACCTTGTTGACTGCAATCGCACTGGCTAGAATAGGAACTGCGACGATTTTAAGAGAAAAGCAGAGGCGGACAGCAAGCAGAAAAAAAAAATCATGGCCATTCAATAACATGATAACAGAATGGGTAGCAAATTTCCCAATGGTCACTTGGGAGTAAAAGCCCTTTGTTTTAAGAAATATGATCAGCTTCCGATCTTAGCGTCACTCAGTGAATCATCGCACATTTAATATCTGAGACGCTTCTTTATCAGCCCCGCTACTACTTTACGAGAGTAAACGATTGCGCTGAACGATGAGCTTCTCTCTACCAGGAACTGACCTATTCGATCTTATCGGTTATAGCGAGGAACTTCCCCAAGAGTATCTTTGTAATGTGTGGTAAGTAATTGACAATTTAGTTACTTTTGAAATCACATTGTAATCATTTCGCCCGCATTGCAGAGCTCTGTCCTTGGTATCCATTTGGAATTTAACTTTTGTGATGCGAGAAAATTTTTTTCGTTCGCAATGATATTAGATGATCGCAGCATTCTAAAGTGTATGTTAATTCTGCTTTGTTAGCAAGAAGCCTCTACTCGACGCACAAATAGCCACGCCATGTGGTCACACTTTTTGCGGCGAATGCGTTTACCGATTCCAGCAAACATCCCGTGCCATTCAGTGTGCGATGTGCCGCCAAGTGGTGATCGCCTTTTGCAAAAATATTTTTGCCAGCAATCTAATCACTGCAATCGATGGTGAGTGCCTAGCCTGCAAGGGAAGGATCAAACTGGACGCTGCCAAAGACCATCTAGGGCGATGTTCAGAAGTTGAAGTGGTGTGCCTTCTCTGCAGTGAAAAACTGCAGAGAAAACACCAAGATGGCCACGATTGCCCCATGCGGGAAATAATCTGCAACTGTGGCGAAAAGTTCAACAAAAAAGACGAGGAACACCACCAGCATCTTTGCAGTTTTAAACAGATACAATGCCCATTCGATTGCGGCGAATTGGTAGAAAGGTACGTTAAAAAGTGTATGTGACAGAAATTTTTTTGTTTGCTCTATAGAATCTATACAGTGTATTGATAAGGAAAGGAAAAATAATATTTCGGTAGCGATTTTTCTTCATCGTGTTTTCACCTACCAAAAGAGTGAAATTTCAATTCCGGTGGGCTACAAAACCGCGCAGGTGAAAATAGAATACTAAGATTGATTGTTATGTGATTTCAGGACATTCTGTACAGATTCTATCAAGGAAATAAAATAGTTTATGTAATATATACACCTCTGGGCTAGTATGCCGTCAGTTTGTCGGCATTGGAGTTTTGGCGAGAAAAGATCGTTTCAACTTAAAATTGATGTAACTGGAAAAAAAGGGTCTTTTGAAAATGTCGACGATTGATAGACGAAATTGGAATTACCAGAGGAGGGCTCTAACCTGGGACTAGGCTCTGCAGGTCTGCGGGGGAGGAGGAGGGAGTCAAGAAAGGAGTCAAACAGGAAAAAGAATTTAGGCGAGCGAATCGAGTTGAGCGGTGAATTGGGGAAGAGGGAAGGGCGGCGGAGCCTCTGCCACCCTTTCCCAGGCCTGACCGCTGGAGACCCTCATCTCTCGGCTTTCTTTGCGCTCCTATTTTTTTCTTTTTTTTGGTTAACAAAGCGGACATTTAATTTTCCATTTTTCCCCCAATACAGAGCCTGATCCCAGCCTAAGAGAGCTCATAGATTGATCATTAAAACGTTTTTATATAACATCTGCTTTTTTTAAGAAGAGAAAGGAAAACAGGTTCACAGCTTCTTGGGGCGGCTATATAAAATTAATAACAAAAGAAGAGTTTGAGAATGCTTGTGTACTAGTGAGTAATGGAGTAATCCTCATTATTAATTGATCTCCCAAGGTATCTTCTCCCATCTCATACACTACAATGCCCCGCCAAAGTGCAGAAATGCACCGTCAAGGGATGTGGAGAAACGGTCAGGAGAAAGGACAGGAAAAAGCACCAGGATGAAAATATGTCCCGCCACTACAGCCTCCTTAAAGAGGAAAACGAACGCATTCTTTGGAGTGCCAGCAAAATGGTGAGTTTGCCCGAAATGTCCATTTCTAAAATTATATCCTATGCTATGCACCTATGAAGAATTTTATTGAAAGGAGACATTTCAACGAAACCTCTTAACAGAGATTTGTTTGTAAGAAACGTAAACTTGCTTTTTGCGAAAATTTAAAACGTTGGGGGAACGTTACGTCCAAAATTTTGTTTCGACGAACACTCGCGTCATTCTCATTTCTGAACCTTTGATTAAAACGAAAACCGATTATGACTTTTTTTTTTTTCGCATTTGGCTATGGATAACAATGAAGTTCTTCGTTGCCAGATTGTTGCAAAAAGAAAGAAAAGGTTCGCTGTTTTAGCCGACAGTGTACGTAGAGTTGCAATGCGCCTTGGAAACTCCTCGAGTTCCCCCTATGTTTTTTCGTGCTTTCATCCAAAAACAAGCATAACAATTGTCCTGCTGATATGGTATTTCATCCAAGAAAAATGTTGTTAACGCCTCCTGTGGTACTTTTTTTCACAGAAGTGGCTTCATGTTAAGACAGGAAGAACAGGTGAGGCGGGAGCACACAGATGGAACATCCCGAACTGCTACGGCGACATATGTTCGCCAAGCTTTGAGATGTGGGGCCGTAAGTGGCGACTGTTCTGCCTAAGACGAGGGGGCATCATCAAGTACGGCCTTGAAAATGAAGAGGGAGACAGGCCTATCCACGTGTCAGTGAGGTACGTTTGCATGCAGCAAATTCTTAAAGGGACACACCGTCCTGTCCGAAATTTATATTATACTCTGTAAACCTTAAGTGGCGCAGTGGGGGCTCAGGGGATAAGGGATGGGAGTGGGACGTCTGTGTTGCGACCTTTTCAGCTAACTCGTTTTTCTCTCTTTGCAGTTTCATCGTCGAGAGCAGCAGTGGGGGCAAAGAGGTATATAACATACACGTTTTGGAGTTTAAGAAGGGACAGATGACCGAGCAAACTAAGACGGGCAGTATGCCTAAAGCCATAACGGTCAATATGGCATTGTTAGGGCCGAGCTTTACTAAAGATTCATAATTTCTCGTTCTAAATCTATATAGTTAAATCGATTTAAGACCTTGTTAAATGAAGCTTCAATCGAACAGAGCGCGCGGTCCTTCACGTGATATTTGGTTTTCTCTTTCTTCAAGTCTAGTCACTCCTGGTAGATGATAGCTGATAATTGCTTTTGGGAAATGTACATAATAACCTAAATATACTTGAGTACATCAGTCCTCTTTCTGTATTCTATAGAAATGAAATACCGTAAATCCTCTTCTAACCCCCCCCCCCCCCCC